GCTGATACGATCAAAGCTGAACCGAACCTGATACGATGCTGATCCGAAGCTGATTTAAAGGTGAATCAAACCTGATCCGATGCTGAACCCGAGCTGATCCGGTCGTGAAACGAAGCTGAACCTATCCTTGTTTGTGACTGTACCCGAGCTTATACGATAGAAGCGAACCGAAGTTTAACCAACCTGATCCGAAGCTGATACGAACCTGAACCAATGGTGATACAAAGCTGAACTGATCTGATTAATTACGGAACACAAGCTGAGATGATAAAAGCTGACTCGAATCTGAACCGAAACCGATCCGAATCTTATCCGACGCTGAACTAAAGATTTTTGGAAGATGAACCGATCAGGATTTGTGGCTGAAGCCGAGTTGATATAATAAAAGCTGAACCGAACCTGATCCGATGCTGAACTGAAGCTGATTCGATGGGGAACTAAAAGTGATACGAAGCTGAATCGGTCCTGATTTTTCAATGAACCCGAGCTTATACGACAGAAGCTTAACTGAAACTGATCCAAGATTGATCCGAACCTGAACCGAAGATGATACGAAGCTGAACCGATTGTCATTACATAGGGATCAAAAGCTGAGATGATCAAAGCTGATTCGAAGCTGAACCGAAGCTGATGTGATGCTAATCTGATGCTGAACGAAAGATTATAGTAAGCTGAACCGATCCTGATTTGTGGCTGAAGCCGAGCTGATGTGATAAAAGCTGAACCGAACCTGATCCGATGCTGAACCAAAGTTTATTCGAAGGTAAACCGAAGGTTATACGAGGCTGAACCGATCTTGATTTTTGAATAAACCTGACCTGATACGTGAGGAGCTGAACCGAATCTGAACCGAACCTGTTACGAAGCTGATACGAACCTGACCGAAGATGATACGAAGCTTAACCTAAACTGATCCGAAGCTGATCCAAAGCTGAACCAATGTGATACTAAGCTTAACCAATCGTTAAAAAAGTACAATTCAGTCGTGAATTGGCCGTTAGCAGGAGAGCACATATTTCATTTAATTTTTCTAGTGTTTATTAATTTTGGACTTTGGAAAATCTTTCCGAAAAAAGGCATGTTTGTTTATAATTGATGATACATATATATATAAATATTTTTCTTACAAATGTGATTAGATCAGCTGTAATGTAATGGTGTTATATATAAAATTGTTTCCAGTATGGTATCAGTTTGAATTTTTTGTGTGATGGAAGAAAGTACCGTGTTTTTAAAAATTGCTTTGCGTAGTTGAATGAATATTTATTTTGTTTTCATTGTTTTTTTTGTTCATTGATGTATCCTTTGAATAAAATTATCAATATGAAAAGTTAATGTTAAAAATAATTTTTGGTCAATGATCAATGTTGTCCTCTTTTTACGTAACGGTCGAAAAATATGGTAACATTTTAACAAGGGTTACGGTAAGAACACGTGACTGGACCTGCTAAACCGATGCTGATTCAATGCTGATTCAAAGCTGATCCGATCCTTATTTGTGGTTCAAGCCGAGCTGATACATTGAAAGGTGAAACGAACCTGATCCGATGGTGATACGAAGCTGAACCTATCCTGATTTGTGACTGAACCCTCGCTTATACAGTAGAAGCTGAGCCGAAGTTTAATCGAACTTGATCCGAAGCTTATACGAACCTGAACCGATGGTGATGCGAAGCTGAACTGATCCTGATTAATTACGGAACACGAGCTGATATGTTAAAAGCTGATCCGAAACTGATCAGATGCTAAACCAAAGATTATAGGACGCCGAACCGATCCTGATTTGTGACTTAAACTTAGCTGATGTGTTAGAAGCTGAACCGAACCTGATCCGATGCTCAACCGAAGCTGATTCTGTGTTGAACCGAACCTGATCCGATGCTATACCGAAGCTGATCCGAAGGTGATACGTTGCTGAAGCGATCCTGATTTGTGACTGAACCAGAGCTGATACGATAGAAACCGTACTAAAGTTGAACCGAACCTGATCCGAAGCTGATACGAACTGTAGGTGATACGAAGCTTAACTGATCTTGATATATTATTAAAAACACGAGTTGAGAGTAAAAAAGTTGATTCAAAGCTGAACCAAAGCTGATCAGATGCTGATTCACATACAGTATACAAAGCAACGGACAGAGAACTGACCCCTGGGGGACGCGACCTTAAACTAAAGGAGGAACTATATACAATATTAAAGATACTAATTCTGGTATGTCATTCACATACAGTATTAAAACCAACGGACAGAGAACTGACCCCTGGTACACGCCATTTTAAACTATAGGAGCTACTATACAGAAATCTGGTATATCATTCCATTTTATTTAGTTCCGCCCATTGTTTTCTCGTTTAGCGCACACGCATTATTTTACTTGGGGATCATACGCCGGAATGGCATTACTGTGTCACACTGAATTTTCCATGATTACCGCCGTATGAACACATCTGCGGATGTTTCTTAATTCAAAATTTCACCATTGCAATGATTAAATGTTGAATTCTGCTAAAGCCGGTGCTAGGGGGCGTGGACGGTAACTTGCGCTTTCCATTACCGTCCATGAACAGGCTCAATCAAACTTATCATGCATTATTTTCAATTTTGTTTTGTTGGGCTTTCTTTAGGGATTCATTATTTCTCTATATTTTTCCAATCAATAACTAAAGAACCCTCAGGCCTAGGAACTTCAAACTTGGTACGATGATTGGTCATGACCAGTAGTTGATCTCTATTGATTTTGGGGTCAAGGGATGAGAGTTCAAGGTTATATTGACCTTGTAGATGAAAACGGTTTCCAATCAATAACTTAAGAACGCATAGGCCTAGGATTTTTAGATTTGGTATGATGATTGCTCATGACCAGTAGATGACCGCTATATATTTTGGTGTTAAGTGGTCAAAGGTCAAGGCCACATTGACCGTGTAGGTAATAACGGTTTTCGATCAATAACTGAAGAACACTTAGGCTTAGGAACTTCAAACTAGGTATAATTGTTGCTCATGACCAATAGATGATCCCTATTGATTTTTGGGTCAAAGGTCAAGGTCATAATTAACCTTGTAATTTACCAATTACTCAACAACTCAAGTTGCCTTGGTTGATATATTTTATTAAAGTTAAAATGCTTTTGGTATGCACAATATAAGGTCTTCTGTAATATCATAAAATGGCTGTCATTAAGGAGGCCTACTTGATTCATAAAATATATGCATACATTATTTGGTGAGATTTGTGATAACTTTGTCATAAACTTGCTGGACATAACCTTTACAGTCACATTTACATAGTGACTAGTCATGACCAGTAGATATTCCCTTTTTATAGGTCAAAAGACAGTCACAATAACCTGACCACATGACTAAATGGCTGTCGATAGGGTGCATACATGTTTTACAAACATATATTGTTTAAAGTATACTTTTAAAAATAAATTTCGATAGATTTATTTCTCATTTCGTGTCAAAAATAATCACTAGGTACAATGCTATCTTTATAAATGCTTTGCTTATTTGAATGTTATTATATATGTCCCCCGTCGAAATTGCGGCGGGGGATATGGCAATAGTCTGTGTCTGTCCTTGCATCCTTCCGTCTAATCCACCAACCCACATATTTTTCGGATCATGACGGGAAAAGTATTTTTGGTAGCCATGTGAAGATGATTAGATCTCATTAAGGAGAAATGCAGTGCACAAGAAACATATATGCACCTTTCATATATAATATCTTTTACCTATTAAGCTTTAATATATTATGCATATTTTGAGTATTTGAGGTAGTAATCTGAAAATTCATAGGTGAATAGATCTCTTTGACGAGAGGTGCATTGCACAGTAACATAACTTAACTTTTCTATTTTCTTAGTTATTCCTCTTTGATATTTATGGAATTTTTTTTATCAGGAGCATACTTTGATACAGGTTTCAGGTAGCAACTGGATCAACATTCGTTGATATATCCCTTTAAAACTTTCTCAATAGGTAAAGTTGAAATGTTGAATAAAGTAATGATAAAAGAAAACGAGCAGTCTTTTACTTTTTTACGAACGAAAGTAAGAATAATATTTTGACCCTAATTTGTTAGAATACGTGATTGAACCTGAGCTGATATGATATGACATTAAGTTGAACCAAAGCAGATTAAATGTTTTACCAAAGATGATCCGAAGCTGAACCTATCGATTTTTGTGACTGAACCCAAGCTGATATGATATAAGATGACATGAGACTAAACCGAAGCTATTTAAAGCTGCCTCGTGCCATCATATGATTTCAGGTCGGGTCCAGTCACGACTAAGGATCGGTTTAGCTTTGGATCATCATGGGTTTTGAACCAAAGCTGATCTAAAGCTGAACCGATGATGATCCGAAGATGATCTTTAACTGAACCAATCCTTATTCGCGACTGTACCCGGGCTAAAATGATATCAGATGACATGAGGCTAAACCGAAGCTGATCTGAAAATGCCTCATGTCATCTTATATCATTTCAGCTCAGGTCCAGTTACGACTTAAGATCGGTTCAGCTTTGAATCATGAGTGCTGAACCGAAGCTGACCTAAAGTTGACCCAATGATGATCCGAAGATGATCCTAAACTGAACCAATCCTTATTCGTGAATGTACCGAAGCTGATATGATATAAGATGACATGAGGCTAAACAGAAGCTGATCCGAACCTGTCTCATGCCATCTTATATGATTTCAGCTCAGGTCCAGTCACGACTAAGGATCGGTTCAGCTTTGGATCATCATGGGTACTTAACCAAAGCTGATATGAAGCTGAACCGATTATGATTCAAAAATGATCCTAAACTGAATAAATTCTTATCTGTGATTCTTGCTTTCTCTATTTTAGCCGAGCTGATATTAGATAATGTGAGACTGAACCGAAGCTGATATAACTGAAAGAAAAACAGAAGAAAAACTGAAAGAAACTAAACTAAACTGATCGTCCGTGTGTCACAGAAGCCTAATGGTTTTATTCTATTTTCAGGCATAATGGCATACCAGGAGAGCGATGGTGGCGAGAAAACTGTCGATCTTGTTAAGGAAATATTGAGTAATTTTCTCGATAATGTAACAAATAAATTCGAGGAAGAGCTCGGCGAAATGAAGAACGAGCTTGGAAAAAGTGTGAGGGACATAGATGTAAATCTACAAAAAGTTGAAACTGTACAAAAGGAGATCCAAAGTGAAATGAACAGTCTGAAGGAGAAACAAGGAAAAACCAACCAAGAACTCATTTCAAAATATGAGAAATTGGAATCGGTTGTTCGGGGGTTAGAACTGGAGGTAAAATCCCTTCGAACAAAGCAGGAACAAAGTTTGCCTTGTAAATGTCGTGAAATGTTATATACAGTGACAGCTGCGGGAATGCAGATACTGGATGATGGAATGGATAAAGGAGGACACCTTTTGCAGCAAGCCATACTGTCATCGGGTTTAGAGCAGTCTGTTATGTTTGATGTAAACCTGAAGTCTTCAGTGGCCTGTAACGATACGGAAGAAGCTGAAGGGCGCATAATCTATCCCAACCTTAAAGCAAATTCTACCTTCATCCTTAAGGAATCCATTCAGGACAATAACTTGGAAAAGGACGGTGATTTGTTTGCCACTAAAATAAACTTACAAACAAACCCTACAAATGAACAAGGTGATTCCACTGCGACTCAAACACAAACTTCCATAAAAAATGTGAAGTCAGGGGAAGATGAGATCAAAACTTTTCAAGTCATCCCCCCGCAAAAGAAAACATATTCCATCCTGGAAGAGCTGCCTTTGGGCTTGCGGGAAAAGATGCAGCAGTTCTATCAAGAAAAGCCCAAAAGGGCCTTTAATGAATGTTTGCTAGACCTTCAGAGGGCGTATGTGCGCTACCGTTGCGGGTCTGGGGAGACTTTAGGCCCCACCGAGTTAGCAAATAACATCATTTTGTCAGGAATAAAGGATAAAATTTGTGATTCTGAATATACTCCTAGAAAAGGGTCCAATCTTAAGAGGTACTTAACTCAGCGAATAAAGAATGAAAGGACAGGGAAAGAAATCGAAGGCATTTGTAAGGATGCAAATGCGAAGATGAACCCTGCCGCAAAGAGACAAAAGATGGCGAACAGTAAAGTTTGAGGGTTTTTTGAAAATATAGTGTGTCTTACCATAACGTCATAAGACACATCACGTGGTATTGCCAACCTGAAATAGTTTGTTACTTTTTACTATAGTTGAAGAAGTTGTTTTTGTTCCAGTGTTATTAATATTTCATAACATTTTTTGCATTAAAGAATGTTTGTTTTAGTTCATGTGTAATTGATATGTCTTAAAATTTGAAAGCATTAAATAAATAAAAATGTTTGTTTTAGTGTTATTAATATTTCATAACAAATTTTAATATTTCATAACATTTTTAATCATAAAAAATATTAATATTTGTCTTAGTTTGTTTGTTTCATTTTACGCCTTTTCCAAATGTATATCAGTCATATAGGTGGGTAGTTTACTAACCATCTTTCCTTGAGAGTTACACTAATACTAGACTACCTTCCTCCGTGCTAAACTACCAACGCATCTCCCGGGGATCGAACCCACGCCAGAGAGGTAACTGGATTAGAAGTCATCGGCTCTATTCCCTCGACCACGGAGGCGGTTTTGTCTTAGTTCAAGTGTTATTAATATTTCACAAAATTTTTAAGCATAAAAGAAGAACGTTTGTTTTAGTTATTAATATTTCATAACATTTTAAAGCATTAAAGAAAATAAATATGTTTGTTTTAGTTCAAGTGTTAGGGTAAGGGTTTGGATTAGGGTTAGGGAATAGGGTAAGAACCGAGGCTCATCTGCTTCTGAACTGAAGCTCATCTGATGCTGAACCGAACCTGATCTGATGCTGAACCGAAGATGATTCGAAGGTGAACCGAACCTGGTCTGATGGTGAACCGAAGCTGATCCGATGGTGAACCGAAGCTGATCCGATGCTGAACCGAAGCTGATTCGAAGCTGATTCAAAGATAAACCTATCCTGATTTGTGAATAAACCCGAGCTTATACGATAGATGCTGAACCGAAGTTAAACCGAACGTAAACCGATGCTGAACCGAAGCTGATTCGAAGGTGAAGAACCTGATCTGATGCTGAACCTGATCCGATGGCGAACCGGAGCTGATCCGATGCTGAACCGGAGCTGATCCGATGCTAAACCGGAGCTGAACCGGAGCAGATTCGAAGCTTACTCAATATGTTACAAAGCTGAACCGATCCTTACAATTCAGTCGTGAGTTGACCGTTTGCAGTAGAGCACACATTTCATTTTAATTTTTTAGCGTTTATGTATGGACTTTGGATAATATTTGAAAAAATGTATGTTTCTTTATTATTGATGGCATATGTATAAATATTTTTTTTAAATGTGATTAGATCGGCTAAATGGTGTGATGTTTTATATAAAATTGTTTATAATATGGTATGAATTTGATTTATTCCTTGTCTGATGGAAGAAAATACCGTGTTTATAAAAATTTCTTTGCGTAGAGGAAATGAATATTTATTTATTTCCCATTCATTTTGTTCTGTTCATTGATGTATCCTTTGTATGAAATTATCAACATGAAAAGTTAATGTTAAAATGATTTTTGATCAATGAATAATGTTGTCCCCTTTTTAACGTAACGGTCGTAAAATATGGTAACATGAAAAAAAAGGATTACAATCAGGACACGTGACTGAACCGGCTGAACCGAAGCTGATTCGCTGCTGATACGAAGCTGAACCGATCGTAATTTTTGGCTGAAGCCGAGCTGAGACGATATAAGCTGAACCATAGCTGATCCGATGCTGAATCGAAGCTGATCCGATGCTGAACCGAAGCTGATCTGATGATGAACCGAACCTGATTCGAAGGTGAACTGAACCTGATCTGATGCTGAACCGAAGCTTATCCGATGCTGAGCCGCATCTCATTCAATGCTGAATCATAGCTGATCCGATGCTGAACCGAAGCTGATCCGATGCTGAATCTAAGCTGATCTGATGCTGAACCGGAGCTGATCCGATGCTGAACCGAAGCTGATCCGATCCTGAGTCGAAGCTGATTCGAAGGTTAACCATACCTTGCTGAACCGGAGCTGTTCTGATGCTGAACCGGAGCTGAGCCGATGCTGAATCTAAGCTGATCCTATGCTGAATCTAAGCTGATCCGATGCTGAACCGAAGCTGAACCGGAGCTGAGCCGATGCTGAATCTAAGCTGATCCGATGCTGAGCCGACGCTTATTCGAAGGTGAACCAAAAGTTGGTGAACCGAAGCTGATCCGATGCTGAACCGGAGCTGATCATATGCTGAACAGGAGCTAATCCGATGCTGAACCGGAGCTGAGCCGATGCTGAATCTAAATTGATCCGATGCTGAACCGAAGCTGATTCGAAGGTAAACCGTATCTGATACCATGGTGAACCGAAGATGATCCGATGCTGAACCGGAGCTGATCCGATGCTGAATCTAAGTTGATGCGATGCTTAACCTGAGCTGATCCGATGCTGAACCGTAGCTGATTTGAAGGCGAACCAAACCTGATCTGATGCTAAGCCTAAGCTTAATCGGAGCTGACCCTTATCTGATCCTAATGTCATACAAAGCTTAACCGATCCTTACAATTCAGTTGTGAGCTGACTTCTTGCAGTATAGCACACATTTTATCTAAATCGTTTAGTGTTTATTCATTTTGGACTTTGCATAATCATTCCGAAAAAAAGGTATGTTTGTTTATTAGTGATGGTATATTCTTAAAAATGTAATTAGATCAGCTGAATAGTTTGTTTTATATCAAATTGTTTATAGTATGGTATTATTTTGAGTCTTTTCCTTCTCTGATGGATGAAAGTACCGTGTTTTCTTTTTTTTTAATTTTGAGGAAATGAATATTTATTTACTTTTCATTAATGGTTAGGGTTAGGGATGAATACGAAATGCAACAACGGTTTATGCAACACTTTTTTCTGATTGGTCGGAATAGTCACGTGTTTTTATAATAGGGTTAGGGTTAGGGCAAGGGATAAATACGAAATGCAACAACGGTTTATGCAACGCTTTTTGTGATTGGTCGGAGTAGTCACGTGTTTTTTTGTTTTTGTTTTTTTTTCAATATGTATGCGCGCGCTTCTAAATGCAATTGAACGAGACAATGTCTTTTTTGATGTTGCTTTGTTCGAGGGAGGCTAAAAAGATTGTGTGTGTGTTATTTAAATGGTAGATTAAATTATTTATGAAACATGCAGCATGTGAAATGAAATTTTTATTTTTATGTGGTTATTAATAAATGATAAACATGGATTATGGCAATTTCTATATGGTATTCCATAATAAGGTATATAATTTCGATAGCAAATATTTGCTTGTGTTAGATTTGTGTTATGCAGTGCAGTTGCTCGGTAGTGTTCCATGGCGGCGATGAATGATGATGGCTGATTGGTGGTTGACTCATTCATTGAAGAAAAATAAATGTTTGACTATGCGTAATGAAATATGAACCATTGACACTGCGTTTAATTTTCCTTTGGTTGATGACTACGTGCGGTCTTTAGGGACAATGAATTTGGAGTAACACCTGGCGACAATGAGTTGGGTGGCGCCCAATGATACCCCTTCCTTTGAGAAGCTAATACCGGCTTTAAGTCCGGGGGGACCAGGTGCCTTTTCTTTTCGATTAACAAAAATAAGATTATATTGGATTAGAGTAAGGGTTAGTGGTAAGAATAAAAAAGTTCAGCCATATTCGAACTGATCCCAACTTGAACCGAAGGTGATACGAAGCTGAATCGATCCTGTGTTGTTACCGAAGCTTGGCTGAGATGATAAAATGTAATCCGAAGCTGATCCGATGCTGATCTGAAGCTGATTTGAAGCTGAGCCGAAGGTGATACGAAGCTGAACTGATCGTAAATTGTGACTGAACCCGAGCTGATACGATTTAAGCTGAACCGAAGCTGATCCCAACCTGAACCAATCCTGAACCGACGGTGATACGAAGCTGAACCGATCCTGATTTGTTACCGAACCTTGGCTGAGATGATAAAAGGTAATACAAAGCTGAACCGAAGGTGAACCGAGGCTGAACCGAAGCTGATCCGAAGCTGAACTGAAGCTGATCCGATGCTGATCCGGTGCTGAACAAAAGATATTAGGAAGCTGAACCGATCCTGATTTGTGGCTGAACCCGAGCTGAAATAATAAAAGCTGAACCGAAGCTGACTCAAAGCTGAACCGAAGGTGATATCAAGCTGAACCGATCCTGACTTGCCACTGAACCCGAGCGGATATGATAGAAGTTGAACCGAACCTGATCCGAAGCTGAACCGGAGCTGATTCGATGCTGAACCAAAGCTGATTCGCTGCTGATACGAAGCTGAACCGATCTTAGGGTTAGGGTTAGGGTAAGGGATAAATGCGAAATGCAACAACGGTTTATGCAACTCTTTTTTCTGAGGTAAAGGTTAGGATATAGAGCAATTTACGAACCGTGCGCATTTGAAAGTTGCGCAACCCTTAGCTAACCCTAAGCTAACCCTTAGCTTAGCTTAACCTATTGGTAAGCCTGATCCAACTCTAAGTTTTCCTCAAATTTTCCAATGATGTTTGGAATGGTGTTTATTAAATATATTTTACAAATAAGTAAATATTTGTTGGTCTGTCCGTCTGTTCAAACATCAGAGAATATAATGTTATATTATGTATCATTTTCGCGTTTTTACGCCATTTTCAATCATTAATTATGACATTAATAATTCAGATATTTATATAAATTATATGATATTTTACGGAAGAGACTCGTGTGAAATAAACAACAAATTCTTATTAGCATATGTTCGTCCATCTATTTATGATAGTGTACAAAAGAATGTTTTATTTTATATGTAATACCGTTCATTTTATATAAGAAATAGAGCAAATATTACTTAATTTCTTTTCATTTTCTTTACTTTGTAAGTCATTCTATAATAATGAATTATATATAATATTGTTCAGTTTTGAGGAGTCTCTACATAATAAATTAATAAACACCATTGTCACTTGTGATCGGAGGCACATACTTAAAATTATTGTTTCAGTTCAGAGACCAACGTTCTCTTATATTTTCA